ACACTAGGGAATCCTTGTTACCTCCAGCTCCAGCTTACCTGCCCTTCTCCTTTGGGTGGCCCAGAGTTCCATCTACTCGTCTACCGACCAATAACCACTGCCAAAATAAGATGAGATAAGTGATCTATACACTACATTGTGCACTTTAAACTCGAGACAAGGCTTCAGCCAACCACATTCTTCCGTCTTCCTCTTCACATGAACGAATCAGTCTCAGATTAAAGAGGTTGGAGAAAACATAAGGCCCACCTCGTAAGTCTCTGATTGTGGTTCCTCCATTAAATGAAGGAAACGTTAAGGGATTATGGTCACTATATCACAGTTATAGGGGTGATACTGATTTTTAGATATCGTGCACGTCAAAGTGTTGCACTGACAACAATAAAGCAAGAGTCCTCCTTTTCTTGGAGGTTTAACTTCTTTGGTGCCTGCTACTTTTTGCTTAGAAGCTGCGAGTGAGTGGCATTACTTCTCCTGCTCTACCCTGCAACAAGACTGATCCCAACCTCTGTATTATTTTGCAAACCCGGGGAGGGTAACTCAGGTTTACAATAAAAGATCTTGAGGGCCAATGGCATACAATAAGGTACATGGACAGAGATATTAAAGTTAAAAATACGGTTGTGTCCTTTGCACACTGGTCGCGGCAGCAGATGACGCACCCAGACTGTTCATTGCACACAATTTGCATTGGAGTTCATAAAGAGAGCAAAACCTTATTTTTCTAACTGTACCTGCGGAGTCAGTGCTCGTTTTCAAGGTATACCTAGTGTGAGACCAGTAAGAACAAACGTTTCCACCGACTCTCGCTGGATAAAAATACAGTCTCTTAGAAATAAATCACTTCACTTCCTTCAAGGAACTATTTCACACCCAGCTTACATCTTGCCAGACTGCTGTACATTTACGAAGATTCGGAAAACCTCTACTCTAATGGGGTTTTACATGGCACATTTTTCTGTCATCCAAAACTCTTTCCACTAAGGTGCACCACGTGCTGTGCCTACACTTCAAACCAGTCTTTCAAAGATCCAAATCTTTCACAATCTCTTACAATTTTCCTGCTTAACATTTCTTTCTCAGGACATTTATCCATCATCATTTTATGAGTCACCACACAGTTCCATCATAGCCATTCCCAGGAAACCGGTTCTAGTGCCAATCCATCTCTCAGCTTACAGAATGTGTAGCACCACTCTCATGTCCCACGTCATCCTGGGCGGACTGGCAGATGGTTTTGCACTAGTGCCATCGGACCTCATCTTAGCCAAGCAATTTCTGAATACGAGAATAAACACCGCGGGGAACATCACCAAACTCTCAATAGCACATGACTTAATGATTCCAGAGTGCATTCCCCACACGGTAATGAAAGGGAGGGAATTCCCTCTCCCAGTCCTTCTGGTACTGGGGAGGGTGAAAAAAATATGCATTGCCCTGAGAGACTGGGAAAAAACCATGGAGCTTTTCTTTGACTCCTAGGATGATATACATTGGTAAATATAACCTCAAGTAGGCCTCTCAAAACTACATGTACATTTCATTAAAATATGACGTCTGGGTGATTTGTGCAAAGCCTAAGGGAACAAAAATGTTTTCACCAGAAATCTCAAAACCACACACACAAAATTTTCAGAAAGGGTAGTTCAGACTCTGGTAACCTGTAGGGAAAAAGGAATTTATTAATAAAACACTGATTATTTAGGCTTCTCCCGTTTTACACTGAAATGCCATTCCTTCCAGAATCTGTAAAAATACTGACAAAGGAACACTTTAAATAGTTCTGCGCGTCCACGTAAGCACAGGTCCTCTTTAAAAAGAGTCTTGCTCATTTGTTTTCGATCAACTCTGCAAAATAAAGCACTTGGATAAATTTGGGAAGCCACTTCCTCCGCGACCAACTGATAAATCATAGCGTTTCCGGAGGTCACAAACCTTTCCGGGCATCACTTCAGAAAATCTGTGCAGTCAGGGGTTTTTTTCCCACATCAGCACCAAGGACCACTTCTCCTACCGAAGTTCGGTTGAGTCACGGTTCATCACTGCTCAGAATCTCCTGGCCGGTAGACTCAATGAACAGGCTCCCCATGCACCAAAAACTCACCACAGTGTGCAGAAGGTCACAGTGAGGCACAGCTCCTCCTTGTTTCCCCTGTTTAGCTGAAAAGCACATTGAAAAAATTTTCAGGTACCGTTGCTCCAATTGGGTCATTACCACCTTGTTAAAGCAGGGTCCTGCCAAAACAAACATTCTACTTTTGAGGAGTCCCACAACATTTGTTGCCTTTGTTAGATGGTAACTCCTGCAAAAGGACATCTTCTGCCAATATCTTAAAGGTAGGTACCCGGAACTGGGTACTCAGACTTATCCATAAACCTGTGTGTGTGTGAGTCCTGCGGGAACTCCATTTATCCCTTTAAGAAAAATGTCCAATCTGGTGTAGGTGTCATCCAACACTGGCAAATACACTCCCTGCGAAGCAAGGTGTATGTGCTACAAGTGTCCCTCAAAGGACATAACACCCGTGATCCTACCCTTCATTTTGGTGTAAGGCCCACAGTAGACTTACTTGAATAGACTTCATTGTGGTCAAAGATGCTGGCCTTCTTGGATACCTTGGGGCAAAATGCAATTGCAAGCCACATCATGTTTATCGGTGTATTTACTGGCTGAGTGATCTGTTTCGCAGCCTGGTCCCTAAGCATTCTTTCGACAGTTCCTATCCGGCATCCCTCCCGCACGCCGCCGTGGCCCTGTTCTCCCCTCCTTGCATATGTACAGTGATATGGTTTAAATGCCCCAGCCCAGCTGACCTAGGTTGGATCCCTTGGTTCTGGGGAAACTGGCTCGTCCCACCTGTTCCTTGTAGTCCTGGACCTGTGATAAGCTGAGACTTAAAACCTCCCTCGATGCTGGTACGGTACTGGAAAATTAGGGTTTATTTGAACCGCCTTGTTGGTTATTGAGTGCTGTAAATGCGGTGTGGCTTAAACTTCTTTGATAATTTCTTATTCCTATTTGGGGTGGAGATAACTTACCATTATTAGTATGTGGGTTGTGGTAACTGCTACCAAATTTTTGGTTAGCTAAAAATCTGTCACCCAGTCTAAGACATTATTAAAATCTTCAAGATCCTTCTCCTCAAGATATGCCTTAGAAGGTCACAAGGAACAATTTTCTCTAAAAGATCCTCTAACACATAAAGGTAATTACACCTTCATAACGTGCCTACCACCCCCTCCTTTGAAGCGACTCCACCTATTTAGAAGTGACATCTTCTCCAGATAGCATCGCATAGACCACCAAAGAACTGCCCTGAATGAAACTTTGTCCTCTGGAATTTCTGACTTGTACCTTTCAGCAACATTTGATAAGCCAGTTTAAACTTACCTCTTTTGCTTAATGGATAATCAGAAAAGCAGATCCTTCTAAAGAACTAATAGCCTGTAACCTTTACCAACTAATTGGGTTCTTGCTAATGTCGCCCATTCCTTTTCCGTGTCCCAACTTGGGTTTGGCCGTAATTTCAAATAACCAGAAAAAACTGGTCTGGGTCTTTCTCTAGCGAAATATTGGCACAATGTGTGTGTGTGGCTTCGTATCATGAAAGCTCCTCTAAGTGTCTCTGTTCTGGACTTTGTACGCTCAATTCTTATACAGATTCCTTTTCTTCTGCAACTAGGGTTTAATTTCATTAGCTAAAAATTTACTTTCCTATCCAGGTCCCTATCATGGGGATTTGATCTCTGATCTGTCTTACACACATAAGCTTCGAACCCCCACCAGCCCCTTGTGTGATTATGTGTCGTGTTCAGCCTATTGAGTGGGAAATAATAGCCACAAATGTTACTACCAGCCACAGAACTTTACTGATATTAAAAATAATAAGCACACAGCAAGGTACATATAATGAAGTGGGTATTTACAATGGAGTTGTCATGTGACTCCCTCAAATTAAAGAGTAACTGTGTGACACAAATTAGAAGTGTTGAGAATCGTGTGGCAGAAAAGAAAATAAAAAAGAGCTACTGCACTTGCAAAGGTAATTATTTCCAGAAAATTTAGGTGAGCATAACTCCAAAATCAGCTTGATTGTACCTGCAAGGGTAACATTATGCACCAAATCATAATGTATTTTTATCATCCTAAGTGTGTGTCAACAATATGGTGACAGAAAGGTAAATGATTTTTTTTAGAAGCATTAATTAATAATAACACCCTAAAACCAGCATTATTTTACAGAATACGGGAAATTATTCAAGGGTATTAATTAATAATAACACCTAAAAACCTAGCAATATTGCAAACAAAGGTAAATTCTTCACAGGGTATTGTTAATAATAACACCCAAAAAACTAGCATATTACTAAACAAAGTAAATTATAATTTTAGTGTTATAGTGATGTTTCCTCTGACCAACCAGTAAAGTATTTTATTGACTTTCCAGAGTTTGCAAACTTGTAATTACCACAAAAATTTGTGATAATTCTACCTTTTGACATGGCCCCATGTTAGGAATTAATGTGGCGATAGCTGGGGGCTGAGGCTGCGTCTACGGGCAAAGGTAAATGTTACACCACATCTCAAGCCCATAATGGCCCACCCCGGGCTTCCCAGTTAAAAACAGAAAGCGCTAAACCAGTATGTGTTCCTTCAAGGGGTTGGTTAACAGAGGGTTAGCAAAAATGCCCAATTAGGAAGAAAATATATCTATTTAATCACCATAACATTACATACCTTAATTCTACACGCTAAATGAAGGTACACACAGCTGGCTGGAGTTCAGCCACCATAACACTAGGGCTTCAGTCAGCGTCAGGCCATCATGGCACCACAAACCTCATTCTTATTCATCACTCATCCCACTGCACCCCTGACCATGTCAGTGCCTGGGTTAACATACAGGTAAGCCTATGAAAGGCCTATGGCTTGAATTGGGTAACTGAAATGAAAATTATATTGCAACTAACTTAAAATATACAGCATCGCGACGCAGCTTCTACCGCATCCTAATGTCACGTGGACCTCCTCCCCCACGCTTACTCTGCGTACCCAAACATCCTTGGAAAATAAATTACTAACTCCATTCTTTATAATTATAGTTAGAGTACTTTACAGTACCTCCAAAAGCAATTATGAATTATAAAATTATTTCCTTACAACTACAATATTCATATTATTTTGGCTACACTTCCCCTACTATTATGTACATACGTGTCATGCAGAACCCTGCATAACACTTATTACCAAATTTCTTTCTACACATAGCTCAATTAAAGGCTCCCCATTTACATTTACCCCTGGCACCCCAAATTTACCTACTACTCCCTCCATAACATTTTTACCCCACTTTAGCACTGGAAATCCCCAACCACCATTAATTCACACTTGATTCAAAAACTCCCTCCAGCGCATTCACCTCAACTTTCCAATATCTCTCTCTCTCTCTACACCGTCTTTCTTCTACGGTGCATACCACGGCTTACTATACGCCACTTTTCACATCCAATCTTTATTTTCTCCACTGTATCCTTGATTCTAATGCAGTTGTAGTCCGCTCCTTTTTCCTGCCATAGCTTATCCTTCAATATTATTGCTTACTCCTTCTCTTAGCTCTTAACTCTATTGAAACCCCTGACCTAACCCCTATTTATTATCTCTTATTGCAACCTCTTCCCACCCCACTTAGATTTGTTTCACTAAAGCCAGGACATCAGTTTCTTCTCATTCTTAACATCCACAATCATCTCTTTCTTATCATTTGCACAACATCCACGCACATTCAGACTTCCCACTTTGACAATTTTCTTCTTCTTGTTCTTTTTAGTAATCTTTACAGGAAAAGGGGTTACTAGCCCATTGTTTTTCCCACACAGAAAATTTAATAAAGTACTGTATCACAATTTTACTTGTCATTTCAGATTATTTTGATGATATGATAAACATCAGCCTAAAATACTGAACCTACCCTTCTTAAATACATACATATTAACCAGTATGCTTATGATTATTATTATTTATGGAGAAGGGTCATACAACACCTTGGGAATGGGAGACAGGTTTCATCCAAGGAAAGGGAGGATAACTCCAATTACTGGGATCAAGAGTCCTTCAATGACATCACAGCACCACCTTGAAGGGAGCTAGCTGGTATGCCTAATTGTAGTTTACAGTTACTGTATAGTACATATCTGGATTAATAACTGACCTGAAGGAAGACCTTGAGTCTGTCCAGTGGAGCTGTACAAGTTCTAGACACCATACCAGCTACTCCTCCAGCCACCAGATGTCTCCACCACTTGCCAGACAACCATTCTTCTAGAGAGAAATCTTCCGGTACAGAAAGATCCTCACCAACGTCAAGATTCTGTGAAATGTAACATTGCAATGAAGGTAAACCCATATTTTGTATAGCATTAATTAGTTTAATAACCTGGGAAGTCTCAAATATTGATCACAACATGCAATTTTTATTTAAGATTTCGTTCGGATTTTTAACCCCGGAGGGTTAGCCACCCAGGATAACCCAAGAAAGTCAGTGCGTCATCGAGGACTGTCTAACTTATTTCCATTGGGGTCCTTAATCTTGTCCCCCAGGATGCGACCCACACCAGTCGACTAACACCCAGGTACCTATTTGCTGCTAGGTGAACAGGACAACAGGTGTAAGGAAACGTGTCGAAATGTTTCCACCCGCCGGGAATCGAACCCGGGCCCTCCGTGTGTGAGGCGGGAGCTTTAGCCACCAGGCCACCGGGCCACACAGTAACATTTATCAGATTTTGTTGTTTATTAACTAATACTATGCAAAACATTAGCAAAAAAAAAAATTATGGAACTGTTAAGTACTTATAGGTATCTGAGGGACTTTTGTTAAGTAGCTACAAGACCAATAAGGATGGTGAATGTAAAGAGAAGATTTGTTGGCTCCTGTGTACCTCATGAAGCAAGAGAAAGTAAGGTGATATGAATAAAATGCTAAGTAGAATTATTATTATTATTATAATCAAGGGGGAAGCGCTAAACCCGGAGGATTATACAGCGCCCAGGGGGGGGGATGTGGAAGGCATTCAGGCTTAATTCGGGGAACTGGAGCACAGATCCAATTCCCTAAATCAAGAGCCCCTCACCAACATCAAGGAACCTTCCTTGAGGGGCTGTGCTAAGTAGAAAAGAATGCTGATACTGATCATCATTCAAAAGGTATGGTAAAACTATAGGGTATATTTGCTAAGAGTAAAAGTGTGAAGACACCTGACACCATTGCCTCGGCTACATTTTGGAAGGATAGATAAACCACAAGGTAAGTGAAAATGATGAACTGAAAAGGAAGCCACAAAAAATGGTAGAAAGATACTAGGTACATAGAGCAAGTCTTTATTACAGTTTCATTCTGCATATAGCTTTATCAATTCATAGCTCAGTGAACCATATACCCAGAGGAAAATGTCCTCTATATGAATAGCTGACTTTGTTCCAGGCATCTTTCTACCAAACGTATTGGCAATACCAAACATCCAACACTTGCAAAAAATATCGGTACTACGATATTCTGAAAATTATTGTAAAGAAATTTTCAGTGGAAATATTTTGTATAAAGAATATCACAAGAGGAAGACTACACAACACTTGACAAAAAAAATCTCATGTGTATAATATATAGTGATAAGTAAATTTTTTGCACTGCTTTCAGCTTATCTAATGTTGCAAAATAATGTACAGAATGAAGACACACATCACTAAATGTAATATAATTGTTTAGTCGTATTCCCTATTATTGCTTCAGCAGTTCATTAACAAGATAAACCCTGAAATCTTTTACATCAATAGTACTATAGTTAATAGCAAAACTTGATATAGTTAACTGGTTAAATAACTTTCCACTATTAAAAATAATGAGAGTATAAAAGGTTTACAAATGCCTCAAAACATGGCTTGTAAACCAGGCTTCCCAGCCTTTGAGGCATCTGTGGCTGAGTGGTGTAGTGTGTCACTTTGGGAACCTTGCCAGTTTCCCTGTAGTGGGATCGAATCCTCCCGACTGTGATCATTCTCTGTATGTACAACACACAATTACCTGGTCAATTTACCTTTAACTCAGCTCTACATCTACCATAAAGTAGGTATACAAAGTAAAACTTAATATAATAGACTCCTATGTTATAGATTTGAACATAACTGACAAAATATCTGCTGTACAATTCTTTGATGCAATGGACAAAGTCCAGTGCACTGAAATTTTGTCCATTAGTGGTAGAGTGTGAGTGTGAGTGTGAGTGTGTGTGTGTGTGTGTGTGTGTGTGTGTGTGACTGTTTGTGTGGTGTGTGTGTGTGTTGTGTGTGTGTGTGTGTGTGTATTCACCTAGTTGTACTCACCTACGTTGAGGTTGCGGGGTCGAGTCCGAGCTCCTGGCCCCGCCTCTTCACGATCGCTACTAGGTCACTCTCCCCGAGCCGTGAGCTTTATCATACCTCTGCTTAAAGCTATGTATGGATCTGCCTCCACTACATCGCTTCCCAAACTATTCCACTTACTGATACTCTGTGCTGAAGAAATACTTCCTAACATCCCTGTGATTCATCTGTGTCTTTAGCTTCCAACTGTGTCCCCTTGTTACTGTGTCAATCTCTGGAACATCCTGTCTTTGTCCACCTTGTCAAATCCCTCAGTATTTTGTATGTCGTTATCAATGTCCCCCTATCTCTCCTGTCCTCCAGTGTCGTAGGTTGATTTCCCTTAACCTCTCCTCGTAGGACATACCTCTTAGCTCTGGGACTAGTCTTGTTGCAAACCTTTTGCACTTTCTCTAGTTTCTTTACGTGCTTGGTAGTGTGGGTTCCAAACTGGTGCCGCATACTCAATATGGGCCTAACGTATACGGTGTACAGGGTCCTGAACGATTCCTTATTAAGATGTCGGAATGCTGTTCTGAGGTTTGCTAGGCGCCCATATGCTGCAGCAGTTATTTGGTTGATGTGCGCTTCAGGAGATGTACCTGTGTTTATACTCACCCCAAGATCTTTTCCTTGAGTGAGGTTTGTAGTCTCTGACCCACTAGACTGTACTCCGTCTGTGTGTGTGTGTGTGTGTGTGTGTGTGTGTGTGTGTGTTGTGTGTGTGGTGTTGTGTGTGTGTGTGTGTGTGTGTGTGTGTGGTTGGTAGGCTTCTAATATAACAGACCAAGTCTACTGCATCAAGATTTTGTTCCTTGGTGGTGTGTGTATCCAGTGGGCTCCCCCATACAATGGACTATTAGGAGTGTTCATAATGGACCATGTCCATTGCATTGGGGATTTTGATACAAAGAATTTTCATTTAAACGAACACCCCTCCAATTGATAATCCATACTGAAGCTTCACTATACATATAATTCATGGATGAATGTGAAACGTTCATTTATATACAAAAACACTCACCTAGTAATACTGTCGTGTATAGCTTATTGTCTAAAGCCAAACCATAATCATAGCTCTTAATGTAATGATCTACACACAGTTTGGATTTGGGCAATTTGAAATTATCTACTCTTGCAGACAGGCTTCAGGCCTGATTGTTGTTCCTTACCAAGGGGTGTGTATGCCGGGTGTGCTAAGAGTGCTGCACACCCACCAATAATGGTGTATTCATCATAAATATTAAGCTCACTCAATAATATAATCATGGATCATAAATGGAAACTAATTTTTCCGTTCCCTGTTAGAAAATACTGTGGCAGTTGTTCTGATAGCACTACACATCCCACTGTGCTACCCCACAATAGCACTACACATCCCACTGTGCTACCCCACAATAGCACTACACATCCCACTGTGCTACCCCACAATAGCACTACACATCCCACTGTGCTACCCCACAATAGCACTACACATCCCACTGTGCTACCCCACAATAGCACTACACATCCCACTGTGCTACCCCAACAATAGGCACTACACATAGATACCACACTGTGTACCCCACAATAGCACTTAACACATCCCACTGTGCTACCCCACATAAGCACTACACATCCCACTGTGCTACCCACAATAGCACTACACATCCCACTGTGCTACCCCACAAATAGCACTACACATCCCACTGTGCTACCCCACAATAGCACTACACATCCCACTGTGCTACCCCACAATAGCACTACACATCCCACTGTGCTACCCCACAATAGCACTACACATCCCACTGTGCTACCCCACAATAGCACTACACATCCCACTGTGCTACCCCACAATAGCACTACACATCCCACTGTGCTACCCCACATAGCACTACACATCCCACTGTGCTACCCCACAATAGCACTACACATCCCACTGTGCTACCCCACAATAGCACTACACATCCCACTGTGCTACCCCACAATAGCACTACACATCCCACTGTGCTACCCCACAATAGCACTACACATCCCACTGTGCTACCCCACAATAGCACTACACATCCCACTGTGCTACCCCACAATAGCACTACACATCCCACTGTGCTACCCCACAATAGCACTACACATCCCACTGTGCTACCCCACAATAGCACTACACATCCCACTGTGCTACCCCACAATAGCACTACACATCCCACTGTGCTACCCCACAATTAGCACTACACATCCCACTGTGCTACCCCACAATAGCACTACACATCCCACTGTGCTACCCCACAATAGCACTACACATCCCACTGTGCTACCCCACAATAGCACTACACATCCCACTGTGCTACCCCACAATAGCACTACACATCCCACTGTGCTACCCCACAATAGCACTACACATCCCACTGTGCTACCCCACAATAGCACTACACATCCCACTGTGCTACCCCACAATAGCACTACACATCCCACTGTGCTACCCCACAATAGCACTACACATCCCACTGTGCTACCCCACAATAGCACTACACATCCCACTGTGCTACCCCACAATAGCACTACACATCCCACTGTGCTACCCACAATAGCACTACACATCCCACTGTGCTACCCCACAATAAGCACTACACATCCCACTGTGCTACCCCACAATAGCACTACACATCCCACTGTGCTACCCCACAATAGCACTACACATCCCACTGTGCTACCCCACAATAGCACTACACATCCCATTGTGCTACCCCACAATAGCACTACACATCCCACTGTGCTACCCCACAATAGCACTACACATCCCACTGTGCTACCCCACAATAGCACTACACATCCCACTGTGCTACCCCACAATAGCACTACACATTCCACTGTGCTACCCCACAGTGAACACCCTGTGACAATAACCACCATACACCACTATTGGTTATCGAGCCCAAGCTTGTATCTTAAAATACATGGAAAAATATATAGTTATATTATTAGACTACACCCCGTCAACTAACTACACGAATACCACCTGGTGGTTCACACTTACACTCACTCACTCATTTGACCATAAACAGAAATATTAATCTCAGTCTTAAAATAATGAATCCTGTGATACTCCAATACTGAAACTATGTACTGTGCCAAAACAAAAGCATTCACATTGCTAAACTCACAAACTAGTATTTAGTCACTTAGCCATAATACTAACTTACCTCATAATTTGTAATATTTTACAATTAAGAATAAAACTAAGTATGCCCGAAATGCCTAGCCATGCTAAGCGTTCTAGTGGTACACTCTGTAATGCCTAGCCATGCTAAGCGTTCTAGTGGTACACTCTGTAATGCCTAGCCATGCTAAGCGTTCTAGTGGTACACTCTGTAATGCCATAGCCATGCTAAGCGTTCTAGTGGTACACTCTGTAAGCTAGCCAGCTAGCCATTCATGGTACACTCTGTAATGCCTGCCAGTAAGCGTTCTAGTGGTACACTCTGTAATGCCTAGCCATGCTAAGCATTCTAGTGGTACACTCTGTAATGCCTAGCCATGCTAAGCGTTCTAGTGGTACACTCTGTAATGCCTAGCCATGCTAAGCGTTCTAGTGGTACACTCTGTAATGCCTAGCCATGCTAAGCGTTCTAGTGGTACACTCTGTAATACCTAGCCATGCTAAGCGTTCTAGTGGTACACTCTGTAATGCCTAGCCATGCTAAGCGTTCTAGTGGTACACTCTGTAATACCTAGCCATGCTAAGTGTTCTAGTGGTACACTCTGTAATACCTAGCCATGCTAAGCGTTCTAGTGGTACACTCTGTAATGCCTAGCCATGCTAAGTGTTCTAGTGGTACACTCTGTAATACCTAGCCATGCTAAGTGTTCTAGTGGTACACTCTGTAATACCTAGCCATGCTAAGCGTTCTAGTGGTACACTCTGTAATCACAATTTTACTACATGTAAACCAAACAATAACCAAATTTCTGTAAACTCAGCATTGTAATCCTTATAGAGAATAAACTTTGAATTTGAATATGACTCTGCTTGAGAGGCTGACATGTGAGGGGTGTTTGAAGGTGGCACTGAAGGAGAAAAGAGTAAGTTCACAATCTTAAATACCAAGGTAAAACTGGTCTATCTATCAAACACTTACTATGGCATGTCTCCAGGAAAGAATAATATCATGAAGATTTACTGATGGATGGAACAGTAAGTAGTCTCTCCACTCGTCAAAGTTTATGTCTACAGTGCCATCTTTGTCCATTCTGAAAATAATAATAATTTTTTTGTAATAATGCACAGAACATTCAATTTAACTATGTATTTTAAAGCTACAATTATGGGTTATCACACACTGTGCCCATCATTTTCTACTGTACTATCCCAGCTATCAATATCTATAAAGAGGAAAATAAATTAATACAGCTTATACAGACACCTGTCTAAATAGTTTTGGGCCTAGGGTATGCAATTTTAGTTTAAAATAATCTTTGGTATAAACCTTGGTAATAAATACCGACAAGTTGGTTTAGAAAGACACGTAAGCAAACACTATAGCATATTTATTAGAAAACGTTTTGGTCCTGGGACCTTGATCACTTCTAACATACAGAGGTAGAAAGACATTATACATAGAGGCGGAGAGTGAGATGTGACGCACGTGACCTGAGGAATGTCATAAGAACATAAGAACATCTCCAGCCCTTGTTTTCTAGAAGAAGAATGCACTTACATAACACAAGCCTTTACACGTCTTCAGTTCCCATCTTTCTTCATCCGAGATTGCAGACTCTAAGGCACAAGCTATCCTCAACAAACCGCCCATGGAACAGCCCCCTAAACAGTTCATAGTACTCCCATGTGGCGATGTTGCCACGAATACTCGCCGGGCACTTGCTATGAGTAACATCAACGTTTCCACCATAAACACATCCTCTATCAAAGACCTCACTACTAAACGCAGCCTCACACCTCTAACTTCTACAGCAGGCGTCTACACTATCCCCTGTGGGTTCTGTCCCAAGAAATATGTAGGCGAGACAGGCAGAGATCTTGCAGTCCGCCTGAATGAGCATCGAAATGCCTCTAACAGAGACGATGTAAGGTACGCCTGTGTCCTCCACAGAGACTCCACGGGGCATTTGATGAACTGGAACGAGGCACAACTCGTTCTCACCGAGCCAGACCTCAGACGCCGACGGTGCCTAGAAGCCTCACTAATCACCGTCACCGACACTATAGAACGCAACACTGGAAACTACAAAATTTCAAAAACATTGGCATACATGATACTTAAGCAGCACCAACCCAACAACACAGGAGTCACATGATTTCATCGTCTACCCGTCCTCATCATAGGCAGAGGTTGTTTTGCTAAGGACCTGCCTCGCATGGGCCAGTAGGCCTTCTACAGTGTTCCTCCGTTCTTATGACATTCCTCAGGTCACGTGCGTCACATCTCACTCTCCGCCTATATGTATAATGTCTTTCTACCTCTGTATGTTAGAAGTGATCAAGGTCCCAGGACCGAAACGTTTTCTAATAAATATGTTATATTGTTTGCTTACGTGTCTTTCTAAACCAAAATAATCTTTATCTACTGTACCATACTGACTTGATACTAATGTAAGTACCATGATTTACATTCTAACAACTGGTCAATATGTCTACCTCTAAACCCCTGCTACTGATTCTCTTATCTTATCTTACACACACTGACTACCCTGCCTATGCAATCCCCTGGAAAATGAACTCCATCCCCCTTTCCAACCATTCATTACCATGCTACTGCACTTAGTTCCCATTAACATTCTTCTTACTTATCTGTTCCATATTCTTCATAAAGATATTTAAAAAAAAAATTTTTAACACCTAGGAATACATGCATCCCATCAAAAAGTTTTACTCTCAGCTTAACATGCTTGATCTTGATCAGTGTACTAGCTACAGTAACTTAAATTTACTCTCCTCCTCACTAAATGCTAATTATATAAGTTTTTTCTCCAGCCTCTATGCACCCAACCCCATTTTTTATATTCCCCCTCTCCCCCAGAAAAAAAAACCTGTTTTCAATCAAAAAATGGGTCAAATCACTGAAAAAATATACAGTACAAATATTAGTGAATATAGAAAGTTGTCAGTTAAGTATGCTTTGCAATGCACTCGTCTGCCATATGTACTTCCCACTGTGGTAATACCTAGACAATAAACCTTTCTTAAATTAATTTTTCACACGAGTCAATACATAATTACGGTGACTGAAGTATAGTAATACTGTAATCACAGAAATAAAGCTACCACCTCAAATCAATTATCAAACTGCTGAGTGCTAACCCAATACTGTACTACCAATATTCACAAAATAAAAGAAGATACATTTAATGGGTGAAGTTCTGGAAATCTGCGAAGCATAAAACAAAGACCATTATGCTTTTTGGGGATCGATAATAGCACTGAAAGAAAAGAAAAATGCTACATATACAGCAACCCCAAAACTGAAACCTAGCCACAGATGTTTGGTGTGGAAATTCACAAGTCCCATGAAAACCAAACATAAATTCCATTTTCCCATTCCTGGAAGGTGTTTTATGTTTGATTAACCAACACTATATAATGTATAACATTACTGTACTGTACTTATTTCCTGCAGAAGCTTTCCTCCAATATCACCAACTGTTCATTAAATCAACAGAGGTATAGTTGTATGTACACCTTAAATTTAGTGCAAGCTACATTCTTACACCCGATGAAATGGACTTTGGAAGTCTTGCAATTAAACCTCCAACGCTTCTGCGACTTTACATCTCTTGTTCATTGTGCTTATTACATTTAATTTAAATGACTAATTCTTTCGATATACTTAAATTTTATTAAGAATTTCTTATCATAACCAATCTATAAAATACTGTATAGCACATATTTAAAACTAACAAGCAATATACAGTATTTATAACAGAAAAAGATACTACATGACAGTAGTATGGAACTAAAACTTACCCAAAAAAATTTGTAACTACATTGTGAACAGTAACTACATACAGTATTAATCTATCCAAATATGTAACTACAGAAAATTGTGGCCCGGTGGTCTGGTGGCTAAAACTCCCGCTTCACACACGGAGGGCCCGGGTTCGATTCCCGGCGGGTGGAAATTCCGACACGTTTCCTTACACCTATTGTCCTGTTCACCTAGCAGCAAATAGGTACCTGGGTGTTAGTGGACTGGTGTGGGTCGCATCCTGGGGGACAAGATTAAGGACCCCAATGGAAATAAGTTAGACAGTCCTCGATGACGCACTGACTTTCTTGGGTTATCCTGGGTGGCTAACCCTCCGGGGTTAAAAATCCGAACGAAATCTTATCTTGTCATACAGGGAATATGTAATTTGTGAGTAGGGTTAAAGAGCAACACAAGACTAAATTACAGAGGGTGCTTGTTGTGGGGGAATCCTGCATGTGACTGCACTGATGGCCAAATTTTGCGGTGATGTACATCAGAAGGCTTGTATGCAGGCGCAGTCATCTTTTCCCCCACATATCAAGAACCTGGTGCTTGGCTGCACATAGATACATCAATACTTACCTTGAAGCCCCCTCACAAGCCAGCACTTGCTTGCCCTAATGACACGTGCAAAGCCTCAGGGTTGTGTATTTGACCCACAAGGGAAGAAGGCACAGTGTTGACACAAGCAAGCACCAGTTACAACAACACTCAACATCCACTACAGTAACAAACGAGGTGTGCCTAAGTTACATGTACCGCCCCTCTCTCAATCTCCTCCTCCTCTCGTTTCCTCCAACTTCACGCCACCATCATGGCTTATCCACATGCCCTACACTTACACTATTCTGTAACCCAAGCAGAAAAAACAGGCAATGTTAGTAAATTATGTTATATAGTGAACACAGCACAAATATGCAGGATTAAGCTCTAGTAAAATGTGAGTGTGCAAAGAAAAAATCACATGAACTCTACCAAATTTCCTTTACAGTATTAATATGTGTCACAAAATCAGTGCTTCTGCTGGAGACATCAAGACCGAACACAAGGCGATTAAGAAAGAGCTAAGAACATCTTTCATGACCACACCATTCATGATGCCAGCAAAGACCAATCCAACATTAAGAACTTGTTGCAAACACAAAACTACCTAAGACAAAACCCACCATAAGATAAGATAAGATAAGATTTCGTTCGGATTTTTAACCCCAGGGGGTTAGCCACCCAGGATAACCCAAGAAAGTCAGTGCGTCATCGAGGACTGTCTAACTTATTTCCATTGTGGTCCTTAATCTTGTCCCCCAGGATGCCACCCACACCAGTCGACTAACACCCAGGTACCTATTTGCTGCTAGGTGAACAGGACAACAGGTGTAAGGAAACGTGTCGAAATGTTTCTACCCGCCGGGAATCGAACCCGGGCCCTCCGTGTGTGAAGCGGGAGCTTTAGCCACCAGGCCACTGGGCCACCGGCCGCTGGCCACTGGGCCACCATCCTATGCTTTACACTACACACAGACGTGCTGCTAATATAACTGAAAAAATACTAAAATAATCTGAACAGTAAAGGAAAAAAAACAACGTTCAACCTACAAAATTAGAATAGCCCAATTGATTTTTTGAACTAGACACAGGACACGAGATAGGAAGGCTCATAATATTCACAAGTGATAAATGAAGGGGCAGGGAAAGACTGTGGAGGACAAAAAGAATAGCTAATAAACGAAGAAATAAAGTGAGGGAGAGAAGCACGTGATAGGGAAGTTGGCAGAGTTTAAGAGTAGGAGTAAGGGAGGGAGAAAGCAGGAATTACAATACACAATTTGAAGAGCACCCTTCCACTGAGGTCAATTACCCCCTCCAAGACATCAGACCCCAAAGAAAATTAATATTAAAATAGTGAGCAAACTGGTGGCAGGGACCAGGAGCTGCAGCTCAACTCTACTGTTGTACTTACAAACACGTCAACAGACCATACTTACGTTATTTAGGTGTATTAAGAGGCTGAAGAAGCAGTAAAACCGGCGGGGCGGCAGGAGGAGGAGCATCACATCTCTCTTGTACGACCACTGAAGGTTAACTGACTTTTAGTGACCTTAAGGTTGGTCACTATCCTGACCTTCATTATAATACCATCACTGATAACCTGACTAACTCTGACTACCACCACTAGATGGCACTACTACACTACCACTCTTACCACTAGAGTGCTAGTGGTATTATTTTACCAGTAGTACTCTACATGAAGGGCAGATTATTTTAACATTCAGGGAAGTGCTAAAACCGTACGGGCTATAATAATAACAAATTGGCCTATAGGTCGTACTCATTTTTATCATATGCAGTATTATAGGAATAGACCTATTTAGGGTTGTTTCTGCTGGCTTTTGGGTCAGTATTAAATTCATGGGAAATTTAAGCCAGTAGGGATAGGTCTATTTAGGGGTGTTCCTGGTAACCTATGGGTCAGCATTATGGGGAGAGTTAAGCCAGTAGGGATGGGCCTAGTTAGGGGTGTTCCTGCTAGCTTCTATTTGCAAAGGGAACTACCGTTTCCTTTGCAAATAGAAGCATAAACATAAAAGTTCCCAATCACGTCAGGTGGATTCTCTTGCCTGAGCCCCAGCAGAGCAGGACACCTACACTCTCACCTGAATTTAGTAACCGGGTTCCCACTAAAACCGTAAAATTTCCGTAGAACACAAGAAGGGAACCGATAAATGGTGTCCCCGTAATAATAATAATAATAATAATAATAATAATAATAATAATAATAATAATAATAATAATAATAATAATAATAATAATAATAATATCTTCATTTACTACAAGTACATGTACAAGGTAAACAGACCATAGCTGACATCAATGACACGATTATATAAAAAGCAGCTTGTTATGCTGAGCATTTCCTGCAAATTAGGTCAGTTTTGTCCCAGGATGCGACCCACACAAGTCCACTAACACCCAGGTACCCATTTTACTGATGGGTGAACATAGACAACCTAGTTGTTAGGTAAGACACATATGCAACAGTTAGGTATCTTTATTTCAAAACGTTTCGCCTACGCAGTAGGCTTCTTCTGTCGAGTACAGAAAAGTTGATAGAAGCAGAAGATACTTGAAAACGATGTAATCAGTCCATCACCCTTGAAGTTTTGAGGTGGTCAGTCCCTCAGTCTGGAGAAGAGTATTGTTCCATAGCCTGAAACAATATGGAGTTGAAGTGACAGGATGGAGCCTATATACCGCCAGGAGGTGAGATGTAGGCCACTAGTAGAGGTAAGAATGTTGTCGTTGGAAGGTCAGGTCCCTCTCAAATCCAGCCATTCTCACTAGTAGACGTTGACAAAGTTGATTGCAGATCTGTACCAAGATACCCTTGTGTTGCAGTGTCTGACAGAGTGAACATTAAAATGGTAGAAAATACCGACAGGTTGTTAGGTAAGACACATATGCAACAGTTAGGTTGCATAGTGAGAATGGCTGGAATTGAGAGGGACCTGACCGTCCAATGACAACATTCTTACCTCTACTAGTGGCCTACATCTCACCTCCTGGCGGTATATAGGCTCCATCCTGTCACTTCAACTCCATATTGTTTCAGGCTATGGAACAATACTCTTCTCCAGACTGAGGGACTGACCACCTCAAAACTTAAAGGGTGATGGACTGATTACATCGTCTTCAAGTCTCTTCTGCTTCTATCAGCTTTTCTGTACTCGACTGAAGAAGCCTACTGCGTAGGTGAAACGTTTCGAAATAAAGATACCTAACTGTTGCATATGTGTCTTACCTAACAACCTGTCCGTATTTTATACCATTTTAATGTTCACTCATAGACAACCTACCTGGACCTGCCTACCTACCGGTGTAAAGAAACACGCCTAATGTTTCTACCCTGGCTGGGAATCGAACCCAGACCCTCGCCGTGTGAAGCGAGAGCTTTAGCCACCAGGCCAGGCCTAGGTGGTTCCCACGACTGAACACCGGTAGAACAAGACGCCCAGCCTCCATATACGCCAATAACCGGCGTCCCAGACCAACTATGGAAATTCACAAATTATTATTATAATCAAAAAGAAGCGCTAAGCCACAAGGGCCGGAAAAAATTCACAAAGCGGAAAAATAATGAGGTGTTCCAGTTCATTGTAGCGACTCAGACTTTGATCTGTTTTTTTTCGCCTCCATATTTTACGTTTTATGTATTCTCTTCCGAGCCACAGGCAGGTTAGTTGTTACGTAAATGCTAATGTCCACACACTACACTTCTTTTCCCGGGTATATTCTATAGACCATGCCACAGGCGGGGTTAGAACCCACGATTGCGGGTTCTAACCCGGCCCGTGGAATGGTTAGTTAGCAATCGTGTCATTACGATTTCATGAGTTATATTCTATAGGCTAGAAAAAAGCATATTGCACTCTCGAAACATCGTCTCGATAAGCAGTATTCCTGCAACTGCAATTTATGTCAATTATGTTCATACTCCCAGGAGCCTCCTCATACCACACATGTCCTGTCTTCCCCGCTCATCCTATTGGGATCTTACCTGAACTTTTTCGTTCATTCGCCTTTGCTCCAGATTCTCCTCCACCACGATGCTGTGAACACTAACTCCAAGGCTGAGGGACTGAATTACCTCATCCTTTGTACATAGTTCTACTGTCTTCTAATTATGTCCTAGAATCTGTATTCATAAAGCCACTGAATGGCTTTATTAATACAGATATCCATTTAGATTTTGCCACCGAAGTGGCTAGTTTATTGTGCACCCCATATCCATCCTGTGGACGGTAGCGCGAGAGCATATGGATACACAAAAGGCCTAGGAACTAGGCCCCAAAGGGTTAACAGGAATACATATGGATTTATATCTACATATCTATAGTTCACTTATCTGTTACAAGCAAATTTAGGAAATTTGCTTAGTATATCTGGTATCTTATTTTCATTAATAAGATATCTTGACATGTCACATAGGTTATTATACTGTCTGTCTCTGTATTCCTCAATAAGTGGACAATTAAGCACATAGTGTTCAAGAGAGTGACCATATGCCTGATCACATAATTTACATTTAGTTTGATCATCATCTGTGTGTCTCCCAAACTGCCAGAAGTACTTGTAACCAAGCCTAAGCCTGGCCACTACAACATCAGTCAGTCTGTTCACATTGCAAGTTGCTCCATAAACATACTTATCTACGTTCATGTTATCATAGGGGTTATAGATCTACTCAGGCTTCTAACTGCATTCCTATAACAATCATTTTCATTATTTACTTCTCTCCTAATATTATTCCTAATGCTAGACACAGTTATACCAAAGTTATATTCTACGTTCTCCTTCTCGATACTCTTCTTGGCTAACATATCAACTTTATCATGAAGGAGTAATCCAATGTGTGATGGGATCCATAGCAATTGTACATTAATTCCTTTGTCCCTAATTTTTGAGTATCTATACCTGGCTTCCCCAATGAGCATGTTGTTGGAGTCATTATATGAGCCAAGAGCCTTCAATGATGACATAGAATCAGAAATGATGATAGAGTCAAGCTCAGTGTCATAGGTTAGCTTTAGCGCCATTAGGATTGCAAGCAATTCAGTTTGCAGTGTAGACGCCCAGTTGTTAATTCTTATGCCTAACTCAACAAATTTATTATGGTTCTTAACTAGGGAGGTGGCAACAAGAGCAGATGCAGCCCTGCCAGAAGACTCCTGTTTAGATCCATCAGTGTATATAACTTGTGATAACTTATTACTACCAGCTAGGTGAGAAATTTCTTCTTGAGCAGTTGCTCTAACAAGAGATTTAAGGAAGGGATTACTAGCAATGAGCTTCTTGGGAGGGACTTGTAGGTATGTGATATTAAATGAACACATCTTCCATGGAGGGGTGAAATGATATCCAGATGCTGCACATATGTCTAAACTTGTAAGATATCTTATTAATGAAAATAAGATACCAGATATACTAAGAAAATTTCCTAAATTTGCATGTAACAGATAAGTGAAATAAGTGGAAATAAGTCACTCTGTCTGACTTTTTTGGGTTATTCTAGATTCTCTACACATATGCTGCTATGTATGATAATTCTATGTAACTGTATTTGTGTATACCTGAATAAACTTACTAACTTACTTATAAATAAAAACCCATATGTACACCTGTTAACCCCTTTTGTGTGTGTATCCATATGCTCTTACACTACCATCCACAGGATGGATATGAGGGCACAATAAACTAGCCACTTCCGTGACAAAATCTAAATCTGCTCACAGACTGAGCTGCGGGTGTATGATAAATTAACCGCTCAGATAGTACTACTTAACTGTACAGCAGAGTACAATAATGGCAGTCATCCAGGGGAGAGACTGATATGCCCACAGGCAAAATATGATAATGACAATTATGTTTTTAAGGTCAGTCTCACAAATATATGTCAGACAGTCCCTCGATGACATGCTGACTTTCTTGGGTTATCCAGGGTGGTTAACCCTCCGGGGTTAAAAATCCGAACGAAATGTCATGTCCTTGGCGTCTTGCGACTGTGGGAGCTTTACCGATCATTGTAGCATCTCGAGAATAAAGAAGCTTTACCGATCATTGTAGCGTCTCGAGAATAAAGAAGCTTTACCGATCATTGTAGCGTCTTGAGAATAAAGAAGCTTTACCGATAATTGTAGCGTCTTGAGAATAAAGAAGCTTTACCGATCATTGTAGCATCTTGAGAATAAAGAAGCTTTACCGATAATTGTAGCGTCTCGAGAATAAAGAAGCTTTACCAATCATTGTAGCGTCTTGCGACTAGGGAAGCTTTATCCATCATTGTAGCGTCTTGCGACTAGGGAAGCTTTATCCATCATTGTAGCGTCTTGCAACTAGGTTAGTTGTTAGTTAGTTTAATATGTTTATTATGTACCCCATACCCATCCTGTGGGCGGTAGTCAAAAGATTACAGAGGTACATAATTGGTCCAGGGACTGGACTCCAAAGTTTTGATAGCTGAGCAAGTTACAGAGGTAATGAACTCACAATTTACAAAGGTAATGAACTCACAATTTACAAAGGTAATGAACTCACAATTTACAAAGGTAATGAACTCCAGGTAAGTCTGGTC